GGGTCACTTTCATCTGCCCTATCAGCTTAGAATGAAATCTCTAAGAATGTACAGCAGTCGATATCGGCTTTTGCGGGGGGATCTCGTAGTGGTTTACCAAATGCTGAAGAACCCAAATCACATTTGTCGTCCATTGCTGGGATTAAACCACAACACTAAACTAAGAGGTCATTTTTTGAAACGGACAATACAGTAAAGCCTGCTTGAATGCCGTGGAAATTTCTTTTCTCGCCGAGTGTGCCAGCCTTGGAACGCCCTCCTTAATTATGTCGTCTCTGCTCCAAATCTGGAGATTGTAAAAGAGGGATTTGACGATACGTTCTCTCATGTACATTTCATTTTATGACTTATCAGCATTCAAACTGTGTCTTGCCAAACTCCCAACCAATGGATTTACGGATATATACGTTTAATACGCGAACATCTACGCTATTCTACATAAGTCTATGGTGAGTCCATCACAACGCTTTTCACTTTTTCGTGCAACTCAATTTTCGCAATAGTTGCCATCCCACAGGACTTGTTAAGCCATTCTATTTTTACCCGTAATAAACCATTGTTCCATTAATGCCACGAGTGAGACTACGCGTCGAAATTCAAAACACACGGCAAGTGTTCTAAATCCCGAAACCGTTTGTCTAGGTCACCGTAAATGTGGAGGATTTCGTTGTTGCTCTCTACCACCACTGCACTCCACGACCGACTGCTTGGTTCTTCTTTGCACTCATCAGATAGAGCTAGCTTGTGATGGTCGAACTCAACACATAGTGGTTGGCGGCTATCTCCCTGATCAATTGTCAATGGAACTTCGCGAGCAGCGCTTGAGACCGTTAATAGTTGCCCACTGTGTACTGTGTTCGTTCTTTTAAGTTTTAAACCTCGTATTAAATCGTCCAGGGGACAAATTAGGTTTTTCTTTTCGATGCAGAATATGCCATTTGCTCTTGACCACCGCTGCAGACCGTTTAAGCGAGTAACTTTTTACACCAACGTATGCCAGACTGAACGTGTCTATCAATAACAAGCGATTACACAGACTTTAGTGAACTTCAGATTACACTCATCCCACTTCAAAGTTATAACATGAATATTTTGTGTGCAGCTGATAGTCTGGTGTTCACCACCGACGTCTTATCTAGAGCTTACATGTTTCAGCAATGAACTCGCAAGAAAAATGTAGGGAATAAAACCGAGTGCGACATTTGACACTAACGGAGTAACGTCTAAAGATACTAAGGCACCAGATCGAAAAAACTGTATCGGGCGCAGCGCTCCGAGACTTAATTCTGAAAGAGTATCCAGTATCAACGGACTGACTCCCGGAATAACAAGTACCCGACTGAAGCTTTCCTTGTAACGTCTTTTGTGGATTATTTATAAAAGAATGCTAAATTCTCCCATACACGTTAGCTAGAGGTGGGGAACACCTCAGCTACTGTGCCGCAATACATAGAAAAAAGAGAAAAAAAGCAACTGGTGCAAGCTGGCTGAGCTACCGGTAATGGATGGGCATCGTTCCGGTAAGCTACCAGCAGGCTGCTGTGCACCCAAAAAAGTTACTATGCAAAACTATATAAGGTTAAATAATGAGATCGTGGTTGGAGCGGGAGGCTAAGAGGGATGGGGTGGGACAAAGAAACCCACAGCACGAATGCCACTGAGGTCGGCTCCTAGCCATATCAGCAAGTGTGTCCAACCAAACGTGTTCATCGTCTTTCGGACCCCAACCAGGGAGCCGAGACGCTCCAATCGAGGCCAGCTCAGAAGTGAGGGCCTTCATTCCTCTGGACCAAGTCATCGCTTGGCCACCCCTACTCTTCTTCCATCCACACCCCCGGCGCGCAAACAACACACGTCGCGGAAGTCAGTGGGCTGGCATGCGTAACACGTAGCCGAGCCATTGGAGCCTGATGCGTGAAATAACGGTGCTGAGCGGTTCATTTCCTTTTCATGTGCCATAAACAAGGCGTCGAACACGCTCGTTGCTTACGTGGTTTTCCCCCGAAATGCGAGCTTATTTACGAAGGCACCGGTGGTCGAACGTAGTAAAGTGCACCAAGAGGTAGATAACGAAACCAAGGCTACTCACGATGACCCCTGTCTGATCGTCTGAAGGATGACTGTGTCCCCACAATATATGAGTCTAGAACGAGTGCATCATCCTTATGACAGAACAGCAAGAAATTTGATGCCTGTAGCGGTTGTACGTTCGCGGCGTTTCACAACTTCACAAATAACTTCAATGAAGTGGATGGAAAAGGATGCTAACTCGATAAGACAACACGATCACAGAGATAGGGTGCCATAAAAACCAACATTAGAACGCATAAATCCACTGAATAGCCAGTATCAGCGTATGCTGCAGTTTAGGTAGTGGCCATGAAATTCGGGGATATGTCCTGTTAAATCTAGATACATGAAATCTAATCAGAGGGAACAAGAGTTCATCTGGAACAGCATCATAAACGACAGTTAAAGGTTGTGGTAAAGCATTCTGCGGAGTGTGAGCAGAGTATAGCACAATAGACCAAGCGGCGGAGACAGCTCGGGCCGTGAAGCACACGAATTATGTGGCGCAAGGAAGGAAAGAAGGAAGGGATATAGCGGGGGTTTGCAATTCGAATGGACTAACTAGCTCACAGTTATGAACCCGTCCGCCAGTTAAGCGTGGTTCGGACAAGCTGTTAGTCTCATTATCCATACCTAACAGTCCACGCGACTGCGCTGCATGGCTTGTCCAATCTTCGTTTGTCATTTTCAGCAGATTACAAATCAAGAGTCCGTTGTTTATTGCAAAACAGCGGCATCATTTGTAGATGTGGTAAGAGGCTGCTGAAGTAAAAACTGCGACGGTCACATATGTTGTATGCTTTGCTGATTCGCATTTGATGAATATACCATTTGTTTCTGCAGGACTATCTTTTACAACTTGTAGCTTACTACGAGCACGAAACAAACAATACTCATCCACTATATATACAGTTCTTGGCATTAATCCGACGGAAGTCAGCTTCAAAGTGAACTGTAGTCAGATGTGAAATTACGTGTTGTATACCATTCACAAAACGGGTTACCCAAAGTACAAACAGAGAACTAAGTCATTTCAGACATTGCAGAATGCTTACTAATTTATTACACAATACAGTAAGAACCAGGTTGGTAGGTGTCACCGATCTGGAACCCAACCGGTACACTCACCCCATGCTGGAGTCAGTAGAAAGGCCATGCCCACTTCCGCATATTGACGGGTCATCGACCAACCGAAGGTGAAGATCAATATTAGGAGAAGCAGAGGGACCATGACCAAATTCGCCTTCTCTACCAAACGGATGCCACCGAACAGAAACACGCCAGTAATGAGGACCGTCAAAACCTGGCAAAAGACTGGCCAATATGATTCCTTAAAGAGGGAAGAGAAATTCGGGTCTGAAAAGAATTTGGTTTGCATTCGTTGGCGTCCAGAGGATAGTATGTGTACCGGACTCGTAAAAAAGAGTTACAAGCGACTAAGTTAAAATATATGATATCTATCGAAAACAGGATTGACACGGTAGAAGTTTGTTTACGCAGCTGAGACTCAGTTCTCTTTTACATTAAAGCAGACTGCACTCGGTAAGTCATATCACTGTATTATTAATATATGCCCGGTGATTCACAATAGGATCTCATTTGTGTCTGGCAAAACTGTCTAAAACCGTTTGACGGCAAGACTTCTTAACAACATATCACGAACTTCCTGACGCTAACATTTACGGAATTTTTCAATTATCGCTGACAACTACCATCATTGGAATGCGAGCATCTCACTAAACTTTCACATTTTTCTTTGATTTATGCTGTCCTGTTGAAACCATTTGCTTACGCATGCAGAGATTCTCTTCGCTGCAACTGAAGCTACGAGGAAAGAAGATAGAAGGGATCTCAAAGTGTAAAACGCCTGCCCAAGTTAATCGGTGCTCTTTGAAAATAAACTCCGAGACAATGCCATTGAACCAGGTGCCTAAACCCGCTCATGACTTCAATTATTTTTGACTTAATAAATGGATCATGTGAATTAGTTGGTGTCCAAAGTGGGGCAAGGTAAAAGTAAGAAAAATGGCACTGCTGGATGCACTTACAAGTACGTAGGTCTAAAGTGCTCATAATAACGCGGAAGGACAATTAAAGTTTATTAATATCTCTATTAAAATGACTACATATATATAAATTGTTGCATCCTAAACAAGCAGCATACCAAAGCAGCACCGGAACGCATGTAGGGAAATACTGTCCGCACATACGCGCCTTACAATTAAATCAATAAACGTTCGAATTGCAATCAATCAAATCCAACATCACATGACGGGCCAAAGAGTGCGAAATAGAAGTGTGAGTAGGACAAGCAAATCGATGGCAAAAACAAAGCAAAGTATTTAAACGCGACATTGTCCCCTCCTTTGTTCGTAAAAATGTAAGCACCACACGTCTGTGAGCGATATAATTTAATGCCAGCACCCCGAGAAATTGTCAGTTGTCGGTATGCGTTAAAGAGTATCGGTAGACAGGGCAACATATTCGACCGGAACGTCGTAAGTTTGTACTAGTTTGTACCGAGGGCTGTGTTGTACGTGTGTTCGTCTGTTCAATGGCATATTGGGAAAGCGCTGTATGCAGCCGCCTTGCATTCAACTTTGTCCCATTAGCCAACTTTGATAGAGCGCGAGGCGAAAACAGACCTCACCTACGAGAGTCCAACAGTACTCACGGCAAAGAAAATCAGGTACCACTCGAAATGTCTGGTTAAGCAAATGCCACTAGACCTGACTTCTAACATTAACCAGGATGAAGCAGCCGAATACCAACCCTCGGTACTTGTAACTCAAATGTCTCTTGTCTAAACAAAGCCCCCCGGAATATTAGTTACCTATGCAGAGATTGACGCAAAGGTCCGCCGGGAGTCCGCCGTTGCGGCCTGTTCTGTTGTAAACACCGTTAACGCGAATAGAGGGACAAACAGCAAACAATCAATACTTTGCAGCAGGTCAGGACAAACGAGTACCGTACCTTGTAGATCAACAAAAAGGGATGCAACAATAGTACCCGGACGGTTGTATGCTCGAATGCCGCTAAATCTACCATCACATTACGGGCTACTTATCGGACGACTAAGACCAATGGAACTCTGTGTGTGCAGATGAGTGTCTAAGGGGAGCCCATAAACTTATTATGAATTATCCGTTATCCAAACTCGCCACACTATGGAGAACCCAGACTTATTCGAGTAACATTAGAATCCTCCACCGACTTAGAAAACCTTTTGCTCTCCGCAAGCTTGCTAAAACAAGGATCCTGTGTGATACACATCTATCCTGATGTCCCTTGGAGCGCGCGACAATCAAAAGAAACACGAAAGAGGGACGCAGCAAGCAAGAACGCCTAAACACAATCTTCATACATGGCGGGGTAGAACATCCTTCTAAAGATGTTTAAGAGACCGGAAAGCACTATTTAGAACAATGGCGGTTCATTCGTGAAACACTTTCTTTAGATCATATTGTGGCGCTATTGCTCACCAGGATACCTCTCGCACCAAATTATAGAGGATGCGGACATAGAATCCTGAAACTCTTAAATCATTCAAAGTAATAAGTAGCGGATATTTTGTATCGACGGCGGAGAGATCGGAAACATCTTCCTTTTGAAATTCGGTTAAAGGTCGCAAAAGCTTTGCACAGCTCAAATATTAAACCAAATGAAGCAGCAAGCATACTGACGAAAGTACAGAAGCGTAACTTGACTGCTGCTTTAATTGACTCTGACGTAGGTCTAAACGAAGACTGGAAGCACTTTGGCCGAATCAAGTTGCAAACGAGGTGTCATTATCCCATCAAAAAACGAGTAACTGCCGATCACCCATCGATCGGCATTCTCCCACCGTTGATCCCTTTACCCCTCTGTGGGCTCCTAGAGACGGAGAAACTGACCTGCTGGTATACAAATGCTCAGGGTCTTTTTAATAAACTGCTTGAACTGAAAGATCGCCAAGCTTCCGGGTCATATGATGTCATTGGTATCACCGTGACGTGGTTGCACACGGGAATGACGAACGCTGAAGTTTCGCTACCAGGCATGTCGCCGATTCGGAACAACAGGCTCAAAAAATGAGGAGGGCTAATCCTGTATTAAGGAAGCCAAGCCGGGGAGGATTCATACTCGCAGTTCCGCGACTCTCTTGGGTGCCACTTGTAGTTAAAAGCAGGGAACCTTGCCTTATTGTCTTGGTACACCGCGCCCCCGACTCTGCACCCGAAAACAACTATTACCTAGCGGCTGCTTTAAGATGCCGTGTACAACAAAAGTGCACTCACAAACTTATTAAGGGTGATTTCAACGTACATTCTGCAGAAACTCCTGCCACGATCGAATAACAAATCAAAGTCGATCTACAAGATCTCGTAACCATTGTTCCTCTTTACAATCCCTTCACTTTCCCACTCCGTTCAGAACAGGTAACGGATCATCTGTGCTGGATCTTGTGTTTACCAACGTGGAGCATATGATTGATGTGTTGATTTTAAACTGCCTGTTGGGACGAAGTGATCACGCAGTGATAAATTTCAACTTCGTATGCTATGCAGAATATCGCAATGAGAACGATGAGACTGTGCGAGACATCACAAGCTTTGATCGATTAGCCCAGCTCATCAGCGCCACAACTTCGTCGTTCCTTGACAAAGAATCCCCGGAAGTTGCCTGGCTCGAGTTCGTCAATAAATTCAGTCGGCTGATTGCAGAGGCTTCAGAGATAAAAGCTTGTAATAGGTACAAATCAGTTTCTTTCGTTAGGAGCAGAACTCGAAAATGGATGACAGTACGCAACGCAGCATGGCTAGTGTACGGAGAAGCTCCAGCCCCAGAAAGTTGGAAGAACCACGTAGCCCAGCGTAACCACTGCACTCAAATGCTAAGAGAAGACAAAGCCGGCTATCAGCACAACATCGCAAAAACATCGGTGCTAACCACAAGCTGCTGTACAGGCATGTCAATAGCCTAAAATAGTTGAGGCAAGGATTTCCTCCACTCAGGACAGCTGACGGCCCAACAAGAACGTCTGTCGTAGCAGCAAACGCGCTGCAGATGCAATATGCACCCACCTTTCAGATGGCCATGCCACCGAGCGATCTTCCAATCATCTTCTTCTCGCCAGGACTAACCCACATCACTTTTACCGCGGAGGCTGTACTGCAAAAGCTGAAGTCTCTACGCAAACACCTCGCCAGATGTGGACACCATTCGTCCAGAGGCATTGAAAGCAGCAGCATGCCAACTGGCAGGAACCTAAGCTCAGTTTTTCCAGCGCTGATTAGACCAGAATCACGTTCCCGCTATGTGGAAGCATGGAAGAATAAACCCGATTCAAAAGGTGGTAGCAGAACTGATCCCTACAACTGCTGCCCTGTATGTACTCTTTCTTTACTCTCCAAGGTCATGGAATCCATAGTTGACGATGCACTGGTGTACTATCTGGAAAACTGTAACATCTTCAAGCCAGAGGAGCTCGGTTTCCGTCGACAGCGGTCATGTACAACAAACGTACTAATCTCACGCGGTAGTTAGACGGAGGCAGCTGACGTTGGAGAAGGCGTTGATGTGGTCTACCTGGATTTTTCCAAGGCTTTCGGTCGTCTAGACCATCGGATACTACTCTCCCAGCTCCAGCATTGCGGGACCGGCGACCATGTTTTAGGCTGGATTGCCAACTTTTTACTTCAACGGCAATTAGTGGTCAGACTTCGGAGCTCTTTATCGGACCCCATACAAGTCCTGTGTGTTGTGCCACAATTATCAGTTCTAGGTCCACGTTTGTTTTTGGTGTTTATTAATGACCTTGCACAGGGAATCGCTTCAAATTTCCTACTGTTTGCCCAGGACATCGTGATCTGGCGAAGGATCCAGGCGAACGTCGACCAACATGTGCTTCATAGTGACCTAGATACGGTGTGTAAATAGTCAAACAAAAAATTACTGCATTTCAACTACAGTAAATGCAAGGCGCTTTCCATCCGACATCAGGGCAGCTACTCATACCGGCTCGGAATGAATATACTACAACGGTCAACTCTCGCACTTGAAATGGGTGTCTTGGTTCAAGACGATTTGGATTGCTCTAGGCAATCCGAAATGACCTAGACGACTGGGAACCGACATGTCGCGCTGTTGCGACGGACATTTGGACAAATAAACAGCTCCATATTTCAACAAATGCCCAGTGCGTACGTTCACTCCTATGTCGGATACGCAATTCAAGCGTGGTATCCATGGCTGAAATACGACCTAAATGCATTGGAGCAGCCAGAACTTCGGGCATCTAAGAACGTAATTGGAATGCGCAATCTTCCATACTAGGAGAGGCTGCAACGA